TTGCCTCACGGTCCTCCAAATAGAGGGGTACCAAAGGCAGATGACACTAAGGTGTCTTTGTTAACAACACCTAAATGCAGGAGGTGGGGGGACCTACCCAAGCCCAGGTTCACCTGGATCTGTCATTCCTTAAGTGGCACTGCCCATGCTGCCCTTCCCAGGGGCGTGGGGAGGTCTGGGAGCTGCAGGGGGATCAGAGCAGCCATACCTGATGTAGTCATAGAGGTTGTGCCACTTCTCCCCCTTGGGTACAGGGAAGGCCAATTCCCGGGGCATGGGAGCAGCCCCACGGCAGGACAGGTCACTGAGCCGGGCCTCAGCCAATGTCACACCTGGCAGGACAGGGACACACACCTGTGAGCTCTCCAAGCCCAGGGAGCTGCCTGAAATCACATTCCCTGTGGGACACAGGCACAAAGCACTTCCCACCCGAGAAACAAAGGCTGAGGTTTGTAACAAACCCACCTTGCACAGGTGTATTCCTGTAACTCCCAACCTCCAAAGAAGAGCCCAGAGCATAAACCCTTGGATTCCAGTTATAAACCCCCAGGCTCAAGCTTCATGTCATTTCTGTTCACTGATTCAGCAGTTTCACATGATTTCTCTTAAGGCTCATTGGCCATTTTCTTGTCTTATCTCCTCCATGTATTTTTAAACTTAGGAAAGTGAAACAGGAAAGGTTTCAGGAAAGATACAATAAGTTTCAGGAATTTCAAAGCAGCCCTTATAACTTCTTCCTTACTGATGCTTCCCAGCAGGCCAGGCAGTTCAGACAGAATTCCAGCACGAAAAAGGAAAGACAGAAAACAAAGGATTTGACCAAAGTACCTCTGCCACACTGAGCAGGTGGATAAAAAAAGCAGGTTGGAAGATTTTTGACACAAAGAAAGCACATGCACTTCCAGCAGATAAAAGCACAAGTCTTGCAGAACTGAGGCTTCATCACACCTTTCATTTTTACCCCTGAAAAAATTTCTAACCTTAGAAAGATATTTAACTTTGCTCTTTTCATTCACATTTACAGCTAGATATGAGAGGATACTTTCCTCCAGAGTTTGGGAGACTGTATTCCATTCCAGATTTCCTTTCAGTGCCAAGAGAGACGGGGAGGGATTTTGGACAAGGACATGGAGGGACAGTACACAGGGAATGGCTTCCCATTGCCAGAGGGCAGGGATGGATGGGATATTGGGAAGGAATTGTTCCCTGGCAGGGTGGGCAGGCCCTGGCACAGGGTGCCCAGAGAAGCTGTGGCTGCCCCTGGATCCCTGGAAGTGTCCAAGGCCAGGCTGGACAGGGCTTGGAGCAGCCTGGGACAGTGGAAGGTGTCCCTGCCTGCATAGAAATTTAATGCAGTACCAAGTACTTTTCCTGTTGGTATCACAGAGCACCAGCAGCCCAGTGCTCTGCCAGGGCTACAAACTCAGCTCTGAACCCCCATGGGGTCCCCCCAGGCTGGGCTGGTCTCAGGAGAAAGCAGGGGCCAGCCTGAGCTCTGGGCTCCTCACCTGGCTCAAAGAGCAGGTCGCTGGTGCAGAGGTTTTTCACGAGCAGGTTGCAGCAGAGTTTGACCCCCCTGAGGTGGCTGTACCTGCGGCTCAGGTACAGGGCCAGGATGGAGGGCAGGTCCAGCACCAGGCACGTCCAGCGCACGTCAGCCGGGGCTGCTCCAGGGGCACCTGGGGAGGAGAGGACAGGTGGGAAAAGGATGGTGGGAAAGAGGATACAGACATGGATCTTCGTTGGAACCCCTGAAACTGAGGGTTTTAGACTTTCTGTGCTGACAGGCACTGACCCTCAATAAAAAACTGCTTTTGACCTGAGGCCTTGGAGACGGCTTCCAAAATTAAATGATAGAACTAAGATCACAGGTGTGTAGTTTGAATAGAAGCATGTAATGTCACATGGTGGAAAATTTGGAATTTGAGGTTTTAGAATATAGTGGTGTATAGAGGGCAAGATGGAGGTTTTGGGGTGGAAGTTTCTTCTTCATGGGTCTAGGTGGGAACTTAAGTTTAATTCGATAGAAAAATCCGCATTGTGGGTCACAGGTGTTTCGTTATTGGGTGGAAAGTAAAAATAATTTAGATGTTAGTTCTTAATTGGACAGCTTGGGCTTAAAAGACCTTGTAACAAGAAAGACAGATCACCATTTTGCCATTTTTAGCTTGTTAGCTTGAAGTGCTGTAGCACTCACTGTAACATAGGTAAGAATTAACAAACATCTGAGTCCAAACACGAAATTCCATCTCTCAACCTTTTAATCCCAACTCTGGCATAAAAGAAAAAAAGAAGACTAAAGCCTAAGCAATGGATCTTGCTGGACAGGAGACACAAGGTTCACAGGGTTCAGTACAAAGTATTTACCAGGCAACATTCCCACCAGGCCTGTGCCAAGTGGGAGATGGGAAAACAAGTCTTGTAGGCTCATGGGTGGGGAAGGACAGACAGGCATCCCACCAGCTCCATGGACTCATGCCTGGCTTGACACTGCACCCCACTGTTTGGGAAAACAGGGATAGGGGACAGCCTAGCCAGGAGCTACAGCTCTGATCTGGCTGCAGAGATCAGGTGGGGCTGCTCAGGCCCACCACTCTTATCATAAAAATGCTGCAATGCTTTGGGCTGGGAGGGATAACCTTAAAACCCATCTCATTCCACTCCCTGCCATGGGCAGGGACGCCTGCCACTGTCCCAGGTTGCTCCACGCCTCACCCAACCCGGCCTTGGACACTGCCAGGGATGAGGCAGCCACAGCTTCTCTTCAAACACATCGAGCCAACTTGAGAACTCAATTTACTTTTGAACGATTTATTTTGGTGGTGATGTGCCAGCCCAGCCCCAGCTCCTCACCCCGCCGGGCCGTGCCCTCGCTGGCTGCTCCACAGACAAAGGGAAACTGGAGCCAGGTGGCCGTGGATTTGAATTCCTTGAAGAGGCTGGAGAAGGAGATGCGAACCACCTGGTTTTCCTGGGAAGACACACACACACACACACACACGGAGCTTTAGTCACCCTGGTGGCTTCGGCAGGGAAGTGCTGCAGAAGAGAAGGCATGTGGCCCTATCTCCAGTCCCCTCCACATCCCCTGGCCCCAGCAGAGATGCCACCAGGACGGAAACTATCTCCAGCCTGGAGTGACCCACCAGCAGCAAAGAGCAGCCACATCCTGCAGCCCCAAAGCCCACCAGTGCCATCCCCGCTCCTTCAACCAGCCACGATGGCAGTTAAAGAGGCCACCCTGCGTCACGGACCTCGGTGGTGACATCCAGGTGCACGAGGAAGTGCTTGCGGGGCAGGGGCCTGAAGAGCAGGTAGAGGTAGCGTCCTGTGAGCCCCAGGGACTGTGTCCCTGCTCGTGGCAGCTGCAGGTAGCTGCTGGCCGGGTTGGAGCCTCGGATCCGGTAGATTGTTCCCTTCAGCCTCGTGTCCTTTGGAAACCAGGGAAAGATGGGGTTGGGTCAGCACTGCCCAGCCTTGGCAGTGCCTCCCCGTCCCAGGTGCCCCCGTTACCGTGAGGGCGGCCACATCCCCCTCCTTGGCAGAGCGCTTCCACTCCTCCACACGGAAGTGCTTGAAGATGTTCAGGTAGGGACGCTGCCAGGCTGCCAGCACCAGGATCATCGGGGGGACAGAACCCCAGCCTGGACCCCCCCCCCACTACCCCCTGTATGCCCCGAGGTCCCCTGCCCCACTAGCACCCCACTATCTGCATGTCCTGAGTCTCCTCCTCATGATGCAAGCCCGGTGATGCCCCCATTATCACTTTACCCCAATTCTCCCCAGCCATAGTGATACCCCCAAGCCCCAGTGTCCTGCTGAGGATCCCATTACTCCCCTCCTCCAGCTCCAGGAATGCCCCTGGAACCTCCAAGCCCTGAGATCCTCCAGTCCCAATGACATCCCCACCACCTCCACACCCCTGACCCTGCAGCCCCGGTGATGTCTCTGTGCCCCGAGCATGGTGACAGACCTGGTAACCCCATGTTCCAGGTCCTCCCACCCTGCTGACAGCCCAGTGTCTCCATGTTCCAAGCCTCCCCAGCCCTGGTGGCACCCCATTAACCCAATGTGCAGAGCACCCCATGCCCAGTGACACCCTTGTCTCTCAGTGTATGCAGCCCCTCAGATCCAGCGACGCGCCTGGGCCCGGTGACACCCCCAGTACCCCCATACTCCGAATCCCCCATGCCTGGTGACAGTGCCCCGAGCCCCAGTGATAACCCTGTTACTGCCATGCTCTGAGCCCCACCTCCAACCAACCCCAGCACGACTGACATCCCTGTTATCACCACGCAACAAATCCCTCAGCCCCCAGTAACCCCGTGCCCGGAGCCCACCTCTCCTCCCGGTGATGCCCCCGTTACCCGTGTGCCCCGAACCCCTCCAGAACTGCCCCATCCGTGGTGACACTCCCGGCATCCCCGCGCTCCGAACTCTCACAGCCGGTGATGCCTCGGTTCCCCCATCCCCACTGACGCTCCGCGTTCCCCCCATGCCCGGCAGCCCCGTGATTATGCCATGCCTCCCCCACTCTCAGTCATGTCCCCCCCATTCTCGCTCACACCATTACCCCGTGTCCCTCCCATGCTCAGTCATGTCGTCCCATTACCCCGTGTACCCCCCATGTTCAGTCATGTCCTCCCATCCCCGCTCACACCCCCATTACCCCGTGTCCCCCCATACTCAGTCATGTCCCCTCCCATCCCCGCTCACACCCCCATTACCCGTGTCCCCCCATGCTCAGTCACGTCCCCCCATTACCCCGTGTCCCCCACTCCAATCCCCGCTGTCGCCCCCGGCCGCCGCGCGCTCCCGCCCCCCCACCTGCCGCCATGGCGCGCGCCGCCGGCTCAACCGTCCCGCGCGGCCGCAGCCAATCAACGGCGCGCTATCGCCTGTCACGTGACTAGACCCCGCCCTCAGCTCCGCCCCCGCGCTCTGACCGCGCCCCCTGCCCCTCCCCGCGGTCGCGACTCGATCGCGACAGATCTCCGGGCACGCGCGTTCGGGGCCAGGTGATTTTATGTGCCCGGGGGCTCAGAGCGAAGGGTCGCCGAAGCCGAAGTGGTGCTGGGCGACGCGGATCTCCCGCAGCAGCGCCTCGTTCTGCAGGCCGAGCTGCGGGAGAGGGGAGCGGGGTCAGGGCCGGGCTGCGCGGGGCTGCCCACGACATAAGGGGCTGTTCGGTGGCTCGGCTGCGACACCGGCGGGACAGGGATCATCCCGTGGCGCTGCCGCACACCCAACTCGGAAGGGAGCAGGGTGAGCGGTTCGTGCTGCCCCCAGCCCCGCCCGCCCCGCAGGGCACGGACACGAACCTTGACGGTGTATTTGTAACACTGCTCTGCCTCCAGCTGCCGCCCGCCCTGCAACACAGGGAGTAAATCATGCGGTGGGTTAGGCAGGAAAAGACCCCTGAGACCATCAAATTCACCCATTCCCTCAGCACTGCCAAGGCCACCACTAACTCATGTCCCCAGGTGCCACATCCACGTGGCTTTTAAATGCCCCCAGGCATCCCCACCACTGCCCTGGGCAGCTGTGCCAGGGCCTGATCACCCTTTCTGTGAAGACATTTTCCCAATATCCAATCTAAACGTCCCCTGGCACAACTTGAGGTCATTTCCCCTGTCTTGTCCCTGTTCCCTGGGAGCAGAGCCCGATCCCCCCGCCTGTCCCCTCCTGTCAGGGAGTTGTGCAGAGCCAGAAGGTTCCCCCTGAGCCTCCTTTTCTCCAGGCTGAGCCCCTTTCCCAGCTCTCTCAGCCTCTCCTGGTGCTCCAGCCCCTTCCCCAGCTCTGGTCCCTTCTCTCTTCTCAGATACTCCAGCCCCTCAGTGTCTGTCTTGTCCTGAAGGGGCCCAGTACTGACCCCAAGATTTAGGGTGCCTCAGCAGTGGACAGACATGGGATCTCTGTGAAATGACCTTTGTAAGAAGCTCAGTGGGGAGGACATGCCGTGGGGCACTCAGTGCCTCAGGGTGCTGCTTTTGCCATCCAAGCACGCACTTTCCCGGAGCACAGCCCCCAAAGTTTTTATCACGAAGCTCTACGTCAGCTCTTCATGACTGGATGCCAACACCCTCCCCCCAGCCCCATAAACCTTCCCATGAAGCCCCACTCCATCAGGCTGGCAGGGGCTGGGCACTCGCCTGCAGGCAGATGAGGGCGAGATATCCCCACACTTCAGCGTTGGTGTTATTTAGGGCATTTGCTTCAGAGAGAGCATCTTCTGCTTCCAGCATCTCTTCCAGCTTGAGGGAGAGAAGGACAGGTGACAAAAAGCAGGCAGAAAGGATTTCCCAAATGAACAGAAAAAAATCAGTGCCACACAAGATCCTAAGAGGGCTTCCCTGACAGAAATGAGGGGGAAAGGACTTAGGGCACAGGCAAGGAGTTATCCTCAGTGCCAGAGCATCCAGATCTCCAGTCTGGAGCAGCAGCTTCCCACTGCTGACCCCCATGGGATCACACACTATTTCTAAATTAGCCTCTAGCTGTAAGGAAAGCAGCACAAACCCCTTCACCTCCAGGAAATGAGTGATCCAGCTCCATGAGGAAACATGGCTGTGCTCCTGCTCCCTATTCCTGCTTGCAGCAGCTCTGGGCAGGAAGGGGTATCTGATGCCCAGGCCACTTACCTCCCTGACCCGATTCCACAGGAGGTAAACATTTGGCCAAGGGGGAAACAGAAGTTCAGATTCGTTCCCTGATTGCTTCCTCAGCCAAACTTCCTTGGAGGAACCTGGCAAGGTGTCCCAGCATGCTGCTGGTGGCTGGGTGTCCTTGGCAGCCCTTCAGAAGTGCTGGATTCCCTTGGACAGGGAAAGCACTGAGATTCCTCCCTGCTGACATCCCACTCAGTGCCTTGGTGGTGACATGCCGGTCATGTGCAGGCAGGAACTCGGAGCAGAGCCCAGATTGTTTGCCATGACACCCTTGGGAAGGAGGTGCTGGCAGGAGCTGGGATGAGGGGAAAGGATGGCTGTTCCCAGAGCAGGGGCTGAAGGTGACATTGTCTGGGTGTTCCTAGAGCAGGGCTGAAGGTGACACCATCAGGGTGCCACGCTGGGGCTGTCACAGCACTCAGGACACGATGGCCTTTAGGGGCACTGGCTCAGAGGCAGCCAAGAGTTGCTCTAAACAAGGGGATCCTGCAAAAGCCAGCCCTGTGTCCCGTGCCACCAAATGAAGCCCAGAGGACATGAAAGCAGCTGCACTTACCCTGTAGCAAGCAATGCCCACGCCCAGCCAGGTGAGACAGGAGGCAGAGTTGTCACAGGCGAGCAGGTAGATCTGCTTGGCCCGGCCATACTGCCAGGAGAGAGACAGACACATCCCTCTGCATCATCACATCACTCCACACACAGGGGTTTGCCAAACACACTGTTTGCTCACACAGCCACTGTGCCCAGTGCTGCTGCAGGAGTGATTTGTTTTGTGGTAACTTCCCCTGCACAGCCCTGCTGGCTCCTCACCTCTTTTTCTTCCAAGTAGATGGAGCCCAGGCGCAGGTAGACAAAGTGCAAATCCACAGCATCCTCTACAAAGCTGATGACTCGCTCGTAGCAATCCTTTGCATTGACCAAGTCTTTCTGCAGGTAGCACAGGTGCCCTTTCTGAGCCCAGACATTTGGATTCTGTGCACCAAAAACCAGGAGTGAGACATGGATGGAAGAAACACCTGAGGGGGGGGCTGGGACACTGCAAACAGCAGAAAGGAGGAGCTGAGCAGTGTTTAATTGTATTATCACAACTCCCTGTGCAGTGGAGGCTGAGCATAGTGTGACTGGAAGCTGCCTGGTGGGAAAGGAAGGACCTGGGGATGCTGGTGGACTGTGGCTGAACCTCGGCCAGATGTGTCCAGGTGGGCAGGAAGGCCAATGGCCCCTGGCCTGTGCCAGCCATGGCATGAGCAGGAGCAGGGCAGTGCTTGTGGCCCTGTGCTGGGCACTGGTGAGGCCACAGCTCGGGTGCTGTGTCCAGTTGTGGGCCCTCAGTTGTGGGAGGACATTGAGGGGCTGGAGCGGGTGCAGGGAAGGGAAGGGAGCTGGGGAAGGGTGTGGAGCATGAGGAGAAGTTGAGGGAGCTGGGAAAGGGGCTCAGCCTGGAGAAAAGGAGGCTTAGGGGGAACCTTCTGGCTCTGCACAACTCCCTGACAGGAGGGGACAGCCAGGGGGGTCGAGCTCTGCTCCCAGGGAACAGGGACAGGATGAGAGGGAATGGCCTCGAGCTGTGCCAGGGGAGGTTTAGATTGGATATTGAGAAAATGTCTTCACAGAAAGGGTGATCAGGCACTGGCACAGCTGCCTGGGGCAGTGGTGGAGTCACCATCCCTGGAGGGATCTAAAAGCCATATGATGTGGCACTTGGGGACATTATTTAATTGTGAACATGGTGGTGTTGGGGAATGGTTGGTTTGATGCTCTTAGAGGGCTTTTCCAAGTAAAACAATTCCATGATTCTGTGATATCAGGGCAGATTTTATGGAGAGAGTTAAGGTCAGTGGGCTGCCTGCAGGACACCAGCAATAGCATCCCCCTCCAGCTCCCTGCCCAGTGTCCTGCCTGCACACAGCATTCCCAGGTGTCATCTTCCCCCTGCCTTCCTTTCAAGCTGCCTCCCCAAAGCCACCTTCCTTGTAAAGAGCTCAATAGCAACCTTGTCTGTCATGAAACAGAACCGCTCTCCCCCACCCAGAGAGAGAGGATCAGGATATACCTATTGAGAGAGAAAACAAAAGCAGATGCTGCAGAGGGAAAAGCAGAGACAGGCTCTGAGATGCTGCCTGCCTGTGCAGGGAGTGACAAGAGGCTGTGACAATGGGATAACAAAGAGAGCAGTG